TCTTCTTGTTAATCTTCACGTTTAATCTTCTTGTTAGTCTTCACGTTTAATCTTCTTGTTAATCTTCTTGTTAATCTTCTTGTTAATCTTCTTGTTAATCTTCTTGTTAATCTTCACGTTTAATCTTCACGTTTAATCTTCTTGTTAATCTTCACGTTTAATCTTCACGTTTAATCTTCTTGTTAATCTTCTTGTTAATCTTCACGTTTAATCTTCTTGTTGATTCTTTCTTCCTGTTCTCTTTGCTTGTTCGTTCTTTTTCCTCAGTCTGTCTTGCAATCTTGTTTAAACTTTCCGCTTACATCGTCTTGGTCCTCCATCTTCCTGCTTCATCTGAATTTTCTTGTTTAGGCTATTTCCTTCGCCCTGTTTGCTCGTCGCTCGCGCCCATCAGGTGACTTTCGTTCGCTTCCTGCGGATACGTGCCCAATGTCTCAGTCCGGCTTTTGCATTTATTAGGCTTCTCGAAAACAGACACGTGGCGTGTCGTGGCCCGAACACATGTTGTGATTTCAATCGCCATTAAAAAAGCTTTGCGTCTCGAACCCCAGCCATACTGCTAAACGCCACGTGCTCGAATCAGACTGGTTCGTGTGACTGGAGGCCGGCAATTTTACCTGTCGTTTCAGGCGGCTCTGCTGTCGGACCCTGGTGGTTATTCCAGTTGGGTATGCACCTATTTCTCTGGATTTAGGTCTAACATCGGACGTAGTGCAAACATCAGACCTGGAATTCGGGCCGGAAGTCAGCCCCGGAAACCAGCCCCGGAAACCGGCCATCCGACCCAGAAAGTAACTACTCCCAGATTGTCATCGTACTAGTTCACCGCCCCGAAACACGTGTAGCATGCGGGCACCAGGCGCACAGATGCCCAGCAAGTCTCTACATCTTGAAATACAACTGCAGGTTTCATTGGGGAGCTCTACATATCTAGCACCAATTTCGTAATATTCTGTCCTCTTCCTATACGTCCTGCTTTGATTTCGCAGGCTGGCAGGCCCGCCCTTCCGTTCTTCACATAAACACTCATGGAAGACGAAATCAGTCTGGCGGTCGTGGCCAACGGCACTCGCATACCGGCGCTTCTCACGTCTGGGACGAGCGGCCGCCACGTGTTTCCCGGTCCGGTTTGCACGCTTCCCGCGCCGCTACTTCCTGGACTCGAGGGCCTTGGCGTTCACGGAAATGGCATGGTACACAAGCACCAACGCCACAGAAACAAACCCAAAAGCCAAAACCACGGTGTTCAAGTCGTTGTCAGAAATCATTGTCACAATCAGCTGTTGATTCCAGTGAGCAGCCTAGTCCACGCCGCGCTGTTCACTTGTCGTGGATGCGCGCATCACGCTCCGCTCGTCACGTGCGCGAGCGCTTCGCCTCTGACGAAAGACCGGGCCAACTGCATCATCAGTTCTTCACCAATGAGACCACCAACTTCGTTAGAGGAGCTTCTCTACAGGAAGCTCATGACTTCACATGCATTCCACTCGTGGGTCCGCAGGGTGCATGCTCGCATCAACCGTATACCGCTAGAGGAGCAGACGTTGGAGGCCGACAACTCCATCCATCTTCTGAACTATCGCCCCACGACCTGGCACAAAGTGAATGCTTTCCGGATCATCTTCTGGGACGAGTTGAAGAAGTCTTTCACGTTCCGTAGCTGAGGAGGGCCTGCGTGCTTGCGAGGGGAAAGCGCGGCGTCTCGCAGCACCTAGCGTCTTCCGGCGCCCTCCATGATCGAAGTCTTATTCGCCACCTTGAGGGCGTTTCTGTTGGTGGAAACCACGTCGTTCTGCAAGGCCGCGTGGATATCGTTGGGAGACGAGAACGAGAAGTTTTTGTTCATGACATTCTCGCTGTGTCGGATGATCTTGTACAGTGCCGGCTTCGCCTTGTCCTTGATGGCATCCTTCAAAGACCACAGCACAACAAAGGGGCCGGTGGAGGTGACGATGAGTGTCTCGTCATTGGCGAGCGACGTGTTGAAGACTGCGCGGGTAAACTGGATCTTGGGGGCTCCGGTGGCCTGGGTGATGAGAGAAACATGTTCGGGCCGGAGACCCAACCTCCTGGGCATGGGCTTCTTGTCTGCGTCGAAGTACTTGCGGAACCCGATCTCCCCGGAGTTCTTCTGCCCGGCGCCAATCTGGGTGTCAATGAGAAGCAACAGGTTCAGGCATGTGGCAAGCAACCAGCGCCCGTCCTTCGTGACGTCCAAGCCTTCGAAACTCTCGCCGATGGAAGGGAGCGTGACGGTGGCCTTCTTGCCGAGCTCGCTGTAAAGGCGGATGGACCCGTCTCTCAGACCAACGGCAACATACCCTTTGTCCGTGACGGCTAGGTTCTCGAACGCCACCTTGGTCTTGTAGGACTTGTAAGAGCTGCCGGACGCGATCTTGCTGCCGCTCAAGCGGGGGTCGATGTGGAAAAGCGCGTTGGCCGACACGCCCAAGAGCTTCTGCTCGTCCGTGAGAGGCGCGAACTTGGAGACGGGCGCAAAGGCCTCGAACAGGCCCTTGTCCGCCACGTCCCAGGACTCGCAGATCTCGCCGCGGGCGAGGTCCATCTTGTAGATGGTGCAGTCCGCGGGCGCATCCCTAGTCATCAATAAACAATTGTCTCGCTGGTGGAGCATGCTCAGGCGGGGGACAAACTTGCGGCCGTCGGCATCCTTGAGGGAGCGGATGGTGGAGACAAAGCCCATGCCGTCGTCGGTGTACTTGAACACGCCCACGTTGTCGCCCTTGGTGACGTAGGAGCGGTCGTTGGCGTTTCCGAGCGACAAGCCGGAGTTGGGGTCCTTTAAGGCCAAGAAGTTGTGCGCGTTCCTCGCCACCGGGTCGTCGTCGTCGTCGCTATCGGAGGCCACGAACAAGCCGGATCGCCGCGAGTGCTTGGAGAGCACCTGGCCGCGGATGATCTTGTCGATGCGCCTCTCGATGGCCTCTCCGTCGTCGTTGTTGTCGTTGTTGTCGTCGTTGTCGTCGTCGTTGTTGTCGTCGCTGGAGCCGCCCAAGTCCATGTTCTGCACCATGCTGGCCAAGTACGCCGTGTCCGCGGCGCCGCCGGCAGGCTTGGCGTTCAAGCTGCGGCTCATGGCGTCCTGGAAATGGCGGCCGAAGCAGCGGAAGTCGTCGGCGCTGCGGAACTGGAGGAGCACCAGGAACGACGCGCCCCGGCCGTCCTGGTCCAGGGAGTAGAGGTTGAAGACGAACGCCGCGTTGTCGCCGTTGAACACCGGGTTCATTTCCTGCGCCACGCGCACGCAGAACGCAAACCTGCGCGTGGTGGACACCAAGCAGCAGGGCGTGGCCTCCACGAGCCGGATGTCGATGCTGGGCGCCACCAACAGGAACACGTCGGCCGTGGCGTCGTAGATGCGGAGCTGCGCCTTGAAGGCCGCCACCTCGGGGCCCGCGACGGCCACGGCGTCCTTGAAAATGAAGAGCGGGAGGCTGGACGCGTCGCCGTAGGAGTCGTCGTCGGACACGGGCTCCTGTTTGGGCGGGCCACGCCGGGCGTCGTCCACGGGGCCCACGGGGCGCGACATCCGGGCGGACGCCTGCTCCAGGCCCAGATCCGGCTGCGGCTCCAGGCCCAGATCCGGCTCCAGGTCCAGGCCCGGTTCCGGCTCCAGATCCGGCGGGCCGTCGGCGCCGAACTCGGCCACGAGCGCATTGTCCTGGACCCCCGCCAGCGACCGCCCGTACTTCTGCTCGTAGAGACACGCGTACAACGCACGCATGAACGAGTCCACGTCGCTGTACCGGATGTCCGGGTCCACGGCGAACTCCCAGGTCTCGCCGTCGTCGCCGTTGACGTCGCGCCACGTGACGATCTGGGAGCCGTCGTTGCGGGTCACGAGCCGCACGTGCAAGTCCGCGCAGAGGAAGAACAGCCGCTCGTCGCTGTGGCGGGCGCCTTGGTCCGCGGCGTCGTCGTCGTCGGCGTCCTCGAACCCGTCCGTGGACTGGGAGCTGGCCTCGCCTTCCTGGTAGGCCCTGGTGGCGGAGAGCTGGTAGCAGAACGGCTTGGTGGTGCGCTTCATGGAGAGCACGCTGTCGTTGTAGAGGCACTCGAGGGCGCCCTTGGGCAGCTGCGGCGAACGGGCCAAGAAGAACTTGCCCATGGGGATGCTGGCGATTTCGTCGGTGGGCGACGCTTTGATGAACTTGCGGAGGAGATTCATGGCGGAAGGGGGTGGGGGGACTGGGTGCTCTGCAGGCTGGATACTATTGATGGGTTTGGCTTCTGCAGTTCTGGTTTTGAGCCTGGGGGTTTTGGGTTCTGGCTCTTGGATTCTGGCTTGTGGCTTTGAGTTCTGGCTTTGAATTCTGGCTTCTGGCTTTGAATTCTGGCTTCTGGCTTCTGAATTCTGGATTTGAATTCTGGCTTCTAGCTTCTTAATTCTGGCTTCTGGCTTCTGGATTCTGGATTTGAATTCTGGCTTCTACCTTCTTAATTCTGGCTTCTGGCTTTGAATTCTGGCTTCTGGCTTTGAATTCTGGCTTCTGG